ATCATACTCACTACTCCCAAAGGGAATCCATTTTTAATCAATTTACTTCACATGTTAGGTCACTTCACTGTCGGATTTTGCAGGTGAACGAACATTTCGAAAATAAAGTTGTTAACTGGTGCATTAAACCTGAAAACATTGAACCTTTCCAACTTACACATGGTGCCTTCTGTAGTTCCTACCTGGCCTACGTGACACTACACACGGCTACATGGAGTCGCTTAGAAAAATTTGTGGGGGCGGCTTATTCTTACCTGGAGCGCGCCTTTCAATTATCTTAGCTTTACCATCTTTTTCATGCTATGTCCTGTGGAGTAAAGCTTTCATATGACAGATAATGTCAACGAAAATGTTTTAAAACGTAATCCAATTCCCATCGAAAGTTCAATTTCTATGTGTACAATGTTCCATTCTAACATTTCTTGGTTTGCCGACAAAATCTGTCTGTGAACCAGCAATTTCCACGTGATCGGATAATTTGAAAAAAAAAAACTTGCCAACAGGCTTGTTAACCTCGGGACCTTTGCATGCATGAACAGGTCGGTAGCAACATTTTACTGTCTGCAGAAGATGAGATCATGGCGTTGGGACCTGTCCAACTGCGCTTGTGCCGTGGGCAAAGTGTGTGTCTGTCGGTCGGTCACTGACACCAACATGTAGAGTGGCAGTGCGGATTGAAACGGTGTCTAATTGCTAGGAAATGTTCATTAGCTAGGGGAATTAGACTGTATTTTGGCAATCTAAATTAAAAGATCGCGGATTTCCTGTTTACATTTTACCATTACATAAGTACGGCTGCAACGAAAAAATACAAGACAGCGTTTTCATGACGGCTTTGAGTATGATACACATACAAAATGATACACATACAAAATGATACACATACAAAATGATACACATACAAAATGATACACATACAAAATGATACACATACAAAATGATACACATACAAAATGATACACATACAAAATGATACACATACAAAATGATACACATACAAAATGATACACATACAAAATGATACACATACAAAGAAAAATGAGTAAATAGGTCTTTTTCCAGCTGTGATCTAAAGTAACTTGAGAATATTTGCAACGTCCAGGATACCGCTTGTGTCGGTTGTTGGCTGTAATAAACGTAAGGAAATGAATCTTTCTTATGCTGATCGACTGACAAAGTCGTAGCCTGTGATATGAAATAGAAGAGACCATCATAGATTTTCGCTGTCCAAACCATTCGAGGTAGTTTTGAAACGCGAACATCGCAGTGCGAACATCTCAGCAATAATGGAACGATGGTGAAGGCTTGGAGGGAAGAAATAAGCTGAAAATGGGGCAGATGTAAGTGTGCCTTGAGGGAACTCTTTATGACATATATCTCTTTAAGAGAAAAAAATCCATTCACCTCTCTGTATGCGATTGAAACAACAACAAAACGAACGAAGCCGAAAAAAGACTGTCACAATATTGCTACATTCTCGGACGAAGATGGATGCAATTTAATGACACCCCTCCCCCCCCCTCCATTCAATTCAAAAGGCGATGAAACAAACCAGAACGTTTTAAGATGGAGGAGGGAGAGTGTATAACCGATCCATTTCACTTCACCGTCGGATTTTACAGGTGAATGAACATTTCCAAAACAAAGTTGTTAACCCGTGCGCTAAACCTGAAAACATTGAACCTTTCCATGCATGAACAGGTCGACAGAAGAGATTTATTGTTCCCCCGATGTGCTTCTGAGTTGTCTGTTGACCTGCGAGGTGCCTGTAACTACAGCGTTTGAGTGATGTCTGAGTCTGACTAACTAAATATTCTACAGCACAACTACGAACATTCCATATAGAGATTCTTAGATCACGACCGATGATTGAGTGAATGATTGTGATTACTTTTAAACATATCATTCGTCACAATACGAAGCATAATTCTCTTAACAAGATAATTTATATGTCAGTTACAATCAGTTACGAATTAAGTTACGTGACCTTTCGTTAACACCGCCGTGAATGCCCCACCCCCACCCCATTTGCAACAGCTACCTTGTTGTTAACACTTCAAGTGCCAGAACACAAAAATGCTCCAACACCTCAAAACACACAGAAAAAACAAGCTGTTTAACAACGGTATGTCGTACACACACAATGTACTGTGATAGCCTATACCAGGCTTCGAGAGGATGCGCTGAACCTGAAAGATTTAGCCTTTCCATGCATGAACGTTAACAGGTCGACAGAAGAGATTTATTGTTCCCTTCTCTGGTTTGCAAGGTTCATGTCTTCGGGAACGTTCTTGGTTTTTCTATTGACCTGCACATAGACATGTAACTACGGATACGGTTTGAGGAGGATATTTGATTAAGTAAGAATTCTGTATCTAAAGCTAGCACAACTACGGACCTTTCATATAGAGATTCTAAGATCACGTATTGAGTGCACGTGAATGATTCTGATTACTTTTACATACGCTATCCGTAACAATACAAAGCATAATTCTATTAACATGATAATTTATGTATCAGTTACAATGAGTTTCTGACCTTTCCTTAACACCGTGGCGTATGCCCCCCACCCCATTTGCAACAGCTACCATGTTGTTAACACTTCAAGAGTACAGATACGTCCTTACATCCATCTTCTAAGTAGAACTTCCTTAGACCACTTCTTCACAGGTTCTCCACAGTGACTGCAGCTGGACCCAATGTACGGGCTTTTCTTCTTTTATCTGTCTCTCTTTCATTGAAATACACAGACACGCACGCACGCACGCACACACACACACACACACACACACACACACACACACACGTCACAAACGTGTATACTATGTTTGAAACGCGTTTACTAAGAAGTCCAAATTGTTAAAGACTTGTTATGGACATGCATGCTTGGTGTCATCAATATTTCTTGAAGGAGTTGAGGGAATAACAGAACAATTGAAAAGCGATCAAGATAAGTATCTACACCTTCGCAGTAGAAATGTCACAGACGCGCCAAACCAAATACCAAGGCACCCACGCAAGGACCTTTTCTTTTGTCACCCCCGACCACCTGCTCGAGAGAACCATGATGTTATTAAGATCTGTTATTTTTACGTGATATGATAAATCGTTTTTCAGGGGCGGAATTGATTATCGCACACCAAGATCAACTTGAAGACGTCCCTACACCGAGATCTTCACCGTCCGTCGTCAGACAGCGCTATCAACGAAGGTCAGAAGGACCGGACGAGGGATAAGGGGGGCGCTTTTTTCTGATATCTTCAATACCCGACGCTTTTTTTTCTTTAACAGAACAATTAAAAAGCGATTAAGCCAAGTATCTACACCATCGCAGTAGAAATGTCACAGACGCGCCAAACCAAATACCAAGGCACCCACGCAAGGACCTTTTCTTTTGTCTCCTCCCATCACCTGATCGAGAAGACCATGATGTCATTCAGATCTGTCATTTATACGTGATATGATAAATCGTTTTTCGGGGGCGGAATTGATTATCGCACACCAAGATCAACTTGAAGACGTCCCTACACCGAGATCTTCACCGTCCGTCATCACGCAATGCGACACAGCGGGGGTCAGAAGGACCGGAACGAGGGGGGCGCTTTTTTCTAATACAAATACCCGACGCTTTTCTTGCTTTCTCAGAACAATTAAAAAGCGATTAGGCCAAGTATCTACACCTTCGCAGTAGAAATGTCACAGACGCGCCAAACCAAATACCAAGGCACCCACGCAAGGACCTTTTCTTTTGTCTCCTCCCATCACCTGATCGAGAAGACCATG